TTATTTGTTTTTAAATAAGCAGCCAGTATATACAATAATGATAAGCTTAATATAGCTCTTTTTTTCCTGGTTAAAAGCTAAATGTAGCAACCTACTGTTTTATTCTCGTAAGTCACTGGAGCATCTTGTCCCTCTTTAGAACATAGAAGGTAGGTGTGATGACTAAGATAATAAGGAGCCAACAAAGATGTGTAACTATCACCTGAGGCCTACAGACAGCTATGCATTTTGGAAGAAATGCTCTGGAATATAGCGCTGTCCAGTGGACCTTTCACTATGATGGGAATGTTCCATACCAGCACAAACAGGAAGCCATTATCCATATCTGGCTACTGAGTACTTCAAATGTGGAAAGTACAACCAGGGAAATTAATTTTTAATTTTAAAATGTATTTGTTTTCAGTTAATTTAAATAGTGATATAAACTTAAATAGCCACATATAGCCAGTGGCTACCACACAAGGATCTCTCAAGGATATAGAGAAAAACATGAAGATTATGAAGAGAAAAAGATATAAAAAGCCTAAATAAAATTTCTGGAGGTTGAAAAATATAATATTGTAATAAACAAAAAAGATAAACAGAAGATTAGACACTTCAAAAGGATCCACATAACAATGTTAAACCAAAAGACATAGCAATAGAAACTACCCAAAGCACATAGGGGGTTAAAAAAAAATGAAAATAACAGAGCATCAGTGATCTATGAGAGGACATTATTATGCAGCCTATAGGGATCAATGATGACCAAGGAGTAGAGGGAAGGATATAGAAAAAATATTTGAAGAAAGTATGGGAAAAATTTCTCCAAATTTAAATACAAATTCTAAATCCACAGCTCCAAGTTCAAAGAACCCTAAGGAGAATAAACAAATAAAACCACACTATGACATGGCTCGATAAAACTGCTGAAAATCAGTGACAAAGAGAAACATCTCAGAAGAAGCCAGAGAAGAAGAAAAGGGCTATTATACACAAGGAAACAAAGACAAGAAGGACAGCAGACATCAAAGCAGGCTTCTTGTCAGTAGAGTACTAAATTGAAAGTGCTGAGAGGCTCAGCGCCCATAGTATAGCGGTTACAGCTCCAGTCACACCAAGGCTGGTGGGTTCGAACCCAGCCCCAGCCAGCTAAACAACAATGACAACTACAACAACAACAAAAAATAGCCAGACAGTGTGGCAGGCACCTATAGTCCCAGCTACTTGGGAGGATGAGGCAAGAGAATCATTTGGGTCCAAGAGTTTGAGGTTGCTGTCAGCTGTGATGCTACAGCACTCTACCGAGGGCAACACAGTGAGACTCTGTCTCAAAAAAAAAAAAAAAAAAAGAAAGAAAGAAAGAAAGAAAGTGTTGAGATAAAAATAAGCCCATTATCCTAAAATTTAATAACCAGCAAAAAATATGTTTCAAAAAAATGAAGACAGGCCTGGTGCAGTGGCTCATGCCTGTAATCCTAGCACTCTGGTAGGCTGAGGGTGGTTGGATTGCTTGAGCTCACGAGTTTGAGACCAGCCTGAGCAAAAGCAAGTCCCCATCTGTACTAAAAGTAGAAAAACTGAGGCAAGAGGATCGCTTGAGCCCGAGTTGGAGGTTGCTATGAGCTATGATGTCACAGTACTCTACCCAGAGTGACAGCTTAAAACTCTGTCTAAAAAAAAAACAAAGACTTTTCAGACAAACAAAACCCGAAATAATTCACAGCCACTGACTTATACTATAGAAAATGTTGAAAAAAGTCATAAGGAAAAATAATACCAGATGGCAGGATGTCTGGCTTCCAGCTTAGAACTTTCATACTGCCAGCAACCAAAGAGCGAATAATATGGGTGTATTGAGAAAGGCAAAGATTTTTGTTCAGAAGCATGCCCAGTGCCATACTATGAAAAAGGGAGGCAAGCACAAGACTGGGTCAAATCTCCACGGTCTCTTTGGGCAGAAGACAGGTCAGCTGCTGGCTTAAAAGCATCAGCTGGGGAGAGGATACACTGATGGGAGTATTTGAAGAATTCCAAGAAGTACATCCCTGGAACAAAAATGATCTTCGCCGGCATTAAGACGAAGGGAGAAAGGGCAGACTTGATTGCTTATCTCAAAAAAGCTACTAATGAGTAATAGTTGGCCACTGCCTTATTTATTACAAAAAAGAAATATCTCACAGCTTTTCTTATGTGTACCATAATTTGGTTGGTTGCATTTACCAGAATTCAGATCATGAATGAGTGACAGAATATTTCTGTTGGACAGTTCTGATTTAACTAAGACTGGCTTTTGCTTAAATGAATATGATCAGTTTTTTGGATTTTGACAGTGATTCCAGCTCAGTAAATGCTATCACTGTTGTCCCTTTCTAAGGATATGTTTAGATTAATTAGTGATGTTTACCTTTTCACAAAGGTAGTAAATTGCCATCCCAAAACCTATTGAAGATTGGTTTTATATTAGGATTTATATAACTGATTATGTGAATATATTTAAATACTGGGGAAATCCTTTCACTGTCTCAGAACCAAACAAGACTCAATGTTGTTTCAATTGGTATTCATTAACCTGTTAAAGGTGAGGGCTGGACAGAAGATAACAATGTTTACTTTGTCTTTTTTATCTTAATTATGCCAATCTAATTTCCCTGAGTCTACTAAAATGCTGCCTGTTATTTATTGAAAGGCATTTTAGTGTGTCACATAAAGAATACTGAACTCTTCTCTTATTTATTGATGATCTATAAGGTCCGGCTTTTAAAAGTCAGTATGTCAAGAAATAGCAAATTAAACTGTTGAATTATTTACTACGTAAGTCAGACTAAGTTACAATTTGGGACTGTCTTTAAACAACTCTTCAGAAATACATAAACCTGTATAACAACTGTATATGTGTGACTGGTAATGGTGCTTTTACCAACTCATTGTTTGGATTAAAATAGGATAGGCTCAGCACCTGTGGCTCAAGTGGCTAAGGCGCCAGCCACATACCCCTAAGGTGGTGGGTTCAAATCCAGCCCAGGCCCACCAAACAACAATGACAACTACAACCAAAAAATAGCCGGGCATTGTGGCGGGTGCCTATGGTCCCAGCTACTTGGGAGGCTGAAGCAGGAGACTCGCTTGAGCCCAGGAGTTGGAGGTTGCTGTGAGCTGTGATGCCACAGCACTCTACCCAGGGGGATAGCTTGGGGGTTTTTTTCAAAAAAAAAAAAAAATAGAAGAGATATACACAAATTTTAAAATTATGTGTGATCATAATGTAAGATAATTAAAAACACAAATCACAGTTAAAGAAAGAAAAATAATATCAGATATAAATTTAGATCTTCACACAGAAATAAAGAATACCAAATGGCTAAACATATGTGCAAATAAAAAAGAATTTTTTTCTAATTTTAATAAGACGTTGACAACATAAAGCTAATAATAATACCATGTATTCTACAAATTAAAGGCATGGTAACAATTATACAAAAGGAAATAAATGAAAAAATGAGGCCAGGTGCAGTGGCTCATGCCTGTAATCCTAGGATTGCCTGAGCTCAGGAGTTCAAGATCACCCTGAGCAAGAGTGAGACCCAATCTCTAAAAAATAGCCGGGTGTTGTGGCACATGCCTGTTGTCTCAGCTACATAGGAGGCGAAGGCAAGAGGATCACTTGAGCCCAAGAGTTTGAGGTTGCAGTGAGCTATGACACTACAGCACTCTACCAAGGGTGACAAAATAAAGACTCTGTCTCAAAAAAAAAAAAAAAGAAGAAGAAGAAATGAAACTGTTATTAAGGCTCTGTCTCTCTATATGAAATAGTATATCATGGCCATAAAGTTCACGTGCAATTTTAAATTGCACACTGTTAAACTGCACATGAACTTTATGGCACCTGGCATAATATCATTTAAGAGACAGAAGAAATCAATATGCATATTATAACCCCTGGAATAACTACTAAATAAAACAAACAGGTATACCTAAAATTCCAATAGTGGATAATAAATGAAACCACACTGAAATACTATCAATTCAAAATGAGGCAATAAAAAAAAAAAAAAGGGAACAACAAAAGATGAGACAAATAGAAAATACCAAGATTCTAATCATTAAACCCAACACTATGAATAACATTAAATTTAAATGGCTTAAGCACTCCTATTTAAGTAGGCAGGGATAATTTTTTTTTTTTTTTTGAGACAGAGTCTCAAGCTGTCACCCTGGGTAGAATGCCATGGCATCATAGCTCACAGCAATCTCAAACTCTTGGGCTTAAGCGATTCTCTTACCTCAGCCTCCCAAGTAGCTGGGACTACAGGCGCCTGCCACAACACCCGGCTATTTTTTGGTTCATTATCCAAGAACGGAAAACTGGAGACTAGTCTCATCCCTATAATCCTAACCACCTAATCGTTGTTTGGCAGGCCCAGGCTGGATTGGAACCAGCCAGCCTTGGTGTATGTGGCTGGCACCCTAGCCGCTAAGCTACAGGTGCTGAGCCAGGGCAGGGATAATTTGATAAAATAAAAACACAAGACCCAGCTATATACTATATATCTACAATAGTGATTTTCAACCAGTATGCTGTGGCACACAGGATCTTAAGTGTGCCACAAAAATTTTAAAGATTTAAATTACATTTAAATTATTTTTGAAAGAAGTTCAAAGCACAGTGTTTTTTTACTCTTTTTTAAATCAACATTATTTAAGTGTGCTGAGGAAATTTAACTATAGTTTCAAGTATGCTGTGAAACAAAAAAGGCTGAAAAACATCAATCTATAAGAAACCCACTTTAAATACATACAAAACAAAGAGAAGATTAAAGGGGGATGAAAAAGACATGAAGCACTTACAAATCAAAAGAAAGCCATTGTAGTTATATTATCTGCCAAAGGAGAATTCAAAACAAAAACTGCACAGGGTGAGAGCGCAGAGGCACCACCAATTCAGCAAGTGGACTATCACATTCAGCATACTTGCATATGAAGCTAGTAACAGAAATTTAGGACATATGAACCAAAAACTAATAGAATGGAAAACAAAATAGTCATATTTACAATTACACCTGAAGACTTCAACACCTCTCTCTCAGTAATTTACAGAAGCAGACAGAAAATCATCAAAGGATTTGCAAAACTTGAACAACACTCTCAAACTGGACTTAGCTGAGCATTATAGAACACTACACCCAACAACAATCAAATACATGTTCTTTTAAATTTCATATGGGTTATTTTCCAAGAAAGATCATATTATGAACCACAAAATCAGTCTAAATAAATGATAAAATATTCAAATCAAGTGAAATATGCTCTCTGGCTACACAATTTGAAAGCAATAAAAAATAAGAAATTCAATAACCAAAAAACTCTGAAAAATCCCTAAGTATTTGGAAACTAAATAATATACTTCTAAATAACACAAGTAACAAAGGGGAAAAATACCAACAAAAAAGCATTTTGAACTGAATAAAAAATGAAAACATAATATATAAAAAGTTGTGGGATGCAACTAAAGTGATACATAGAAGAAAACTTAAAGCACTAAAATGTCTATATAAGAAAAGAAATCATCAACTTATCTCACACCTTAATGAGCCAGAAAAGAAGCAAGTTAAACCCAAATAATCAGAAAAAGGAAAGATGAGAAAAGAAAATAATAAACTAGAGGACAGAAAAAATAGATAAAAAAACAATGGAATATAAAGTTTGTTTTTTGAAAATACCAATAAAATTTTTAAATCTCTAGCCATACTGATGAGAGAAAGAGAGAGAAAAAGAGGAGCCAGTGACAACGTATTACCAATATCAGGAACAAGAGGTGATATCACTAGAAATCTAAAAATATGAGGAAAATGAGAGCATAAGATGACTTTATGCCAAGGGAACACAAAGACAAAAATGTCTCAAAAGACACAAACTACCAAAGAATATTGAAGAAAAAATCCTCTCATCTGAATCTATTAAATAAATTGAATTTGTAGTTAATAATCTTCCCACAAAGAAAGCTCCAGAGCCAGATGGTTTCACAGGGGACTTCTACCAAACATTTAAGGGAGAACTAATATCAATTCTACATAAAATGTTCCAGAGAAATGAAGAGAGAAAAGTACATTTCCTACTCATTCTATGAAATCAACATTATATGAAATCAGACAGAGACATTATAAGAACAGAAAACTGGAGACTAGTCTCACACCTGTAATCCTAGCACTCTGAGAGGCTGAGGCTATGGACTGCCTGAGTTCTGGTGTTTGAGCCAAGCCTGAGCAAGAGAGAAAATCCCCTCTCTAAAAATAGCCAGGCATTGATGGCAGGTGCCCATAGTCCCAGCTACTCAAGAGGCTGAAGCAAGAAGATTGCTTAAGCCCAAGAGTTTGAAGTTGCTGTGAGCTATGACAGCACAGCACTCTACCAAGAATGACAAAGTGAGACTCTATCTAAAAAAAAAAAAGGACAAAAAAAGAAAGAAGTGGTACTAGGACAACTGGATAGCTAAATGCAAAGAAAAAAAAATAGGGCAGAGATCTCAGCATAAGAGCTAAAAATCACAAAACCACAAGAAGAAAGCATAAGAGAAAATCTTAGGGGCTTTGGTTTTAGCAAAGATTTCTTAAACACATGTAAAAAATATGAACTATAAAAGAAACCTTTCTAATTGGATGCCATCAAAATTACAAACTTTCACTCTTCAGAAAACACTGATAACAAAAAGGCAAGCCACAAAACGGGAGAAATTCTAAAATATATATTAAAATACATCTTATTTCTAGAATATATACTTTTTAAAAAACATCTCTATAATAGGACAACAACCCAAGTTTTTAATTAATTTTTATTTATTTATTATTTTGTCACCCTCAGTAGAGTGTAGTGGCATCACAGCAACTCAAACTCTTGGGCGCAAATGATTTCCTTGCCTCAGTCTCCCGAGTAGCTAAGACTACAGGTGCCTGCCACAATGCCCAGCTATTTTTAGAGATGGGGGTCTAACTCTTGCTCAGGCTGGTCTCAAACTCCTAAGCTCAAGCAATCCAGAATGCAACTGAATTTTTTTTAATGGGCACAATTGAGATTTTTTTTAAGTATATATTCTAGATATATGACTATCTGAATAGACACTTCACCAAAGACATACAGATGGTAAATAAGTACATGAAACAATGCTTATTACCATTAGAGCATAAAATACACATACAAATAAAAGTTATTTCAATGATATGCAGTCCATTTATTTCATTTCTCTGGACAGTTTTAAGTTTTGCCCCTACATCAAAAGAGAACTTCTGGAAGCTCTCTACCACATCCTCATTGTTTTGATCCCTTAATAAAACCTGAGTTCTACCCTACACTTCTGACAAAGAACAATTATAGGCAATCGGAAGTTTACTGCAAGGTTCTTCACTCCATGAAGACCTTCAAAGACCTTTTTTTCAGACTCCAGTGCCAGGAAGTCTTTGTCCCTGCGGTAACTGGTAGGCTGCTTCTTGTGGCCAGTGAAAGTCACATGTGGATTAGGAAGATAAAAGACAAATCTGCTGTTCTCCTTTCACCACACAGTGACAGCCAATCTCTGCCTGCTTGTCAGCCAAGAGTCACTCTTTATTTACTTTCCAACTGAATATATGAACACTTATAAAAGCAAAGGATACAAAATAAGAAATAAAGAAAAACAAAATAGGGAATAAAGAAAAAGAACTCACCTGGGATTTGTTCATTTTCTACTCCTCCTCTAAGATCACAGAACCTATTCTCCAAACAGCATACCTGGAAGAAGAGGAAAGAGGAACAGAATGAGAGATCTGACTGGCTCTGCACCTGCTTGATTTACCACTGACACCCACATACCCAATCAGTGTTCTTAATCTTGCAGAAGAAAGGAAACATCTTTATGTCCTTTTGTGTCCCCAGTATGATTTCATGGAGTTTAAACCTGGAGTGTTTCCCATTGCTTTAACAACATTTTTATTTATTTATTTATTTATTTTTAGACAGAGTCTCACTCTGTCACCCTGGGTAAAGTGTTGTGGTATCACAGCTCACAGCAACCTCAAACTCTTGGGCTCAATTGATCCTCCTGCCTCAGTCTCCTGAGTAGCTGGGACTATAGGTGCCTGCCACAACACCTAGCTAGTTTTTCTATTTTTAGTAGAGACAGTTTTGCTCTTGCTCAGGCTGGTCTTGAACTCCTGAACTCAAGCAATCTACTGCCCTCAGCCTCCCAGAGTGCTAGGTTTAGAGGTGTGAGCCACCACACGCAGACAACATTTTAACCAGAATTGATTAAACACATTACAGCACTTCAGATATGGTGGCTCATGCTCCTAACCTCAACACTTCAGGAGGCTGCAGCAGGAGGATCCCTTAAAGCAGGCGTCCTCAAACTATGGCCCATGGGCCACATGCAGCCCACCTAGGACATTTATCCAGCCTGCCAGGTGTTTTTGCTGCCGCTGCCTGTCCTGCTTAGCAGCCAACTCGTCCCAGGGCCCACATTCCGGCCCTCCAATGGTCTGAGGGACAATGAACTGGCCCCCTGTTTAAAAAGTTTGAGGACCCCTGCCTTAAAGCCAAGAGTTCAAGCCCAGACTGTGCAAAATAGGAAGACCACATCTCTTAAAAAAAAAAAAATTAAAAAATAAGCTGGGTTTGGTGGTTCATACCTGTAGCTATTCAGTAAGTTGAGGGAGGACAACTACTTGAGCCAAGGAGTTGGAGGCTGCAGTGGTTAATGATCATGTCCCTGCACTGGCCTGGGCAATAAAGCAAGGCCCTGTCTCAAAACAAAAAAAACCCCAGCATCTCAAAAGATGAAACATCATGCCTTCATTAAAACCGATATGTGTGTTGGGGAATCCACTTCAAGGCTGTTTTGTACATCTATTTTGACATAGTAATGTTCATTTCTGAGTCAAAGAATCCACATTGAAGCTTTGGAAACAGGGATATATAGGTATTTTAAGCATATGTCTTTTTTTTTTTCTTTTTGAGACAGAGCCTCAAGCTGTCCCCTTGGGTACAGTACTGTGGCATCACAGCTCACAGCAACCTCCAACTCCTGGCCTCAAGCAAGTCTCCTGCCTCAGCCTCCCAAGTAGCTGGGACCACAGGTGCCCACCACAACGCCTGGCTATTTTTTGGTTGTAGCCGTCATTGTTGTTTGGCGGGCCCGGGCTGGATTTGACTGCCTCCTTAAGGGTATATGGCTGGCGCCTTAGCCACTTGAGCCACAGGCGCCAAGCCAAGCATAAGTCTTTTTAAAAAACTGTCTCGGCTACTTTGCTGTCTCTCAAAAGTAACTTTTAACGGAAATTTTTTTTGTATGGACAGCATTAATCCAGAGTCAGGGACTCTGACTTCTGTTCACACCTATTGATCTCAGGCAAGTCATTTTTCCTTTCAGGCCCATTTTTTTTTCCTCTTTCAAATGAAACAAAAATAGAAAACCCAGGCAAAGCCTCCCTACGCCATCTATGAGATCAGGAAAGACAGTGTAGCAGCACATCTCCTATGCCAGACAAGGCGGTGGTTGGGGTTAGGAAGCTGTCTGCCTGTGGAGAGAATCAGTGAAGAACGCAGAGCGGACAGCTGCGGGATGCTGTTTAGGATGAGATGAAATAGAAGCTTCGGGCCGTGGAGTCCCCTCAACATCTCTCCAACGAAGGCGTTTCTCTCGCCAGCCACCCCCGACTGCCATTCTTACTCCAGCTCCCTTCTCTCTGCCCGGTGAATCATGGTCTCTTAGGGTTTCTGAATGAGCCGAAATCACCCAAGCCTCGGCCCACTGGGCAACGAGCTCGTCGGGTCAGAGGACCGGCGTCTCCTCCGGTTCCGCAGGCCCCGCCTCACCTCAGCAGAGCCGCTTTGTCTAGTGGATCGCGGGGTACAAGCTCGCCTCAGGAGTAGGGGCCCAAGCCGGCCTCTCTGAGAACACGCGGTTCCCAGAAACCGCGGCTGAGACGCGTCCACCCGGGGCAGGACCGGCACAGACACAGCCAAGGCCAGACGCAGTCCCAGACTTCACTTCCCCCGCGGCAGGCAGCTCCAGGGTACTGCGCCCGGTGGGATGGCGCAAGCAGGGTCTGCACGGCTGAAGTCCGCCGCACACGCACCAGACATAGGGAACTCAAGGACTGCGAGCTCGGGGCTCGGCCCTGCCCGGCTCACAGAGATGTCTACGGCTGAGACCTGAGGCCCCACTACACGCACCGCGAAGAAGGGACGAGAGCAGCGGCTACAGTTGGTAACCCTCACCTGCCTCCCCTGCCTCCCCTGCCAGGCTACCACGGCCTACCGCTGCGTCCGGCCCAGCAGAAGATGGAGGCTGGGCAAGCTCACGCGCGACCCGGCGCAGGCAGACCCCACCGAGGCGATGAGCGCCTGCGCAGCCAGCGAGCCACCCTCTGGCTGCTCGGGCTCCAGGCTTTGGGAGACCACGCCTGCTCGGCCCTTTCCCTGCGAATGCCGCATCACCTCTCCACAACCCCACACGCGCCCCACCCCCACCTCGCCCCCATTTCGCTCCAGGTCTTCCCTGCACCACTCATCCCTCGTATCCCACTCCACCACCGCCACTCACACGCCACCCTCACTTTTTTTACTTCTGCTCACACCACCTCATTTCTCAACCAAACCACTACCAAGCCTCCACACACCCTGCCGTTCCTTATCACCAGCACCTCCTTGACACCTCACGCACTCCCCACATCCCCCACCCCTGCCCCCCGCCCAGGACCTCCCCCGTTACACGCACTCTCTCTCCCTTCGTGCCCCAGCCCCACCCGGTTCACACACACTTGCCCGCTCTGCCCGGAGTGAGGGATCTCCATGAAGACGCTCTGTGAGGGAGAGATTTA